AAAAACTGGAAATGAGATAAAACGGCGTTTATGACATCGGTCTAAAAATTTGTACAACCGTAAGATTGGACTCAAATGCCCCATAGACTGAAAGTGCATAGCTAAAATTAGGAAAAACAAATTAGGCAATGAGTACAGAGGGACCAGTGAGTACAGAGGACTAGAGAAACAGTGGGAACAGAGGATCAGTGGGTACAGAGGACCAGTGGGTACAGAGGACTGGAGGAACAGTGGGAACAGAGGAACAGTGGAAGATGAGGACCAGTGGGTACAGAGGATCAGAGGAACAGTGGGAACAGAGGACCAGTGGGTACAAAGGATCAGAGGAACAGAGGGACCACAGGAACAGTGGGAACAGAGGAACAGTGAGTACAGAGGACCAGAGAAACAGGGGAACAGTGCGAAGAGAGGACCAGTGGGTACAGAGGATCAGAGGAACAGAGAGAACTGAGGAACAGAAGGAACAGAGGAAGAGTGGGAACAGAGGACCAGCGGGTACAGAGGACCACAGGAACAGTGGGAACAGAGGAACAGTGAGTACAGAGGACCAGAGAAACAGAGGACCAGTGGGAACAGAGGACCAGTGGGAACAGAGGACCAGTGGGAACAGAGGACCAGTGGGTACAGAGGATCAGAGGAACAGCGGGAACAGAGGATCAGTGGGAACAGAGGACCAGTGGGTACAGAGGACCAGAGGAACAGCGGGAACAGTGGAACAGAGGAACAGAGCAACAATGGAAACAGAGGACCAGTGGATACAGGGGATCGGAGGAACAGAGGGAACAGAGGGAACAGAGGGCCAGTGGGTACAGAGGACCAGAGGAACAGCGGGAACAGTGGAACAGAGTGAACAGAGAAACAGTGGGAACCGAGGATCAGTGGGAACAGAGGACCTGAGGAACAGCGGGAACAGAGGAACAGTGGGAACAGAGGACCAGTGGGAACAGGGGACCAGTGGGAACAGGGGACCAGTGGGAACAAAGAACCAGAGGAACAGTGGGAACAGAGGAATAGTGGGTACAGAGGATCAGAGGAACAGTGGAAACTGAGGACCCGTGGGTACAGAGCATCAGAGGAACAGAGGGAACAGAGGAATAGCGGGAACAGAGGACCAATGGGAACAGAGGAAAGAGGAACAAAGGGATCAGAGGAACAGTGGGAACAGAGGAACAGTGGGAACAGAGGACTATTGGGTACAGAGGACCGGAGGAACAGTGGGAACAGAGGACCAGTGAGTACAGAGGAGTAGAGGAACAGTGGAAACGGAGGACGAGTGGGTACAGAGGATCAGAGGAACAGGGGAACAGTGGGAACTGAGGACCATTGGGTACAGAGGATCAGAGGAACAGAGGGAACAGAGGAACGGTGGAAACAGAGGACCAGTGGGTACAGAAGACCACAGGAACAGTGGGAACAGAGGAACAGTGTGTACAGAGGACCAGAGAATCAGTGGAACAGTGGGAACAGAGGACCAGTGGGTACAGAGGATCAGGGAAACAGCAGGAACAGAGGAACAGTGGGAACAGAGGACCAGTGGGTACAGAGGACCAGTGAGTACAGAGGACCAGAGAAACAGTGGAACAGAGGGAACAGTGGAAAAGTGGGAACAGAGGAACAGTGGGTACAGAGGACCAGTGGGTGCAGAGGATCAGAGGAACAGTGGGAACAGAGGACCAGCGAATTCCTGATTTTTTCGTGAAATAAAGCTTATTTCGAAAAATTGCGTTGACTAAAGGCTTTTGGTTGGAGTTATCGGAAGTTTCGAAAAGTCGAGATTCGAGCAATCGGTATGTCACAGAAGCAAAACAAACAATAATTGAAGCTTACAAAATATATGAACTTCATATATTTCATTGTATCTCGCAAGGAACATTATTCGCATTATAAGGACAGGAGAAATAGATTGAAGTGGTTGAGCATTTAACTAATCTTGGACTTTTCAAACAGAACGAAGGCAGTTTAGTCACCCAAATGAAGAAAATTAACCGTTTCAGGGTGGTCAGGAGAGAACAGGCAACACTATGAAAACTTCCTAACCACTAATAATTTTGAAAACGAAGTTGAGCGGTTTTCCCATCATGGTTATTTTACTGGAGAACTGGGAAATCTTATGGTTCTAGACATTGCTAACGTCCTAAAAATGCCAATTGTGATATTTTCATCTCTGGAAAACTTCCTAACTATTCCTATACTGCCACGTCAACAGTTACATGATATGCCTCCCTTGTTTGAATCATTTAATGTTGCTGGTTGTGGGCACTACGACTACGTCTGTCGAGAAAATTATCTCTCGCAGCCAGGAGAAAAGATAGGCGAAGAGATAAAGAAGGAAGGAAACCGAGCTAAGGTGTTTTGCTCCTGTGGAGTCAGCAGGAAAGGCCAAGGGTCAGTAGAAAATATTTGCAATAACATTATTGGTCCATACTCTAGCAGGTGCAAGTGTCTCAAAGCTCGAGTAAGTTGCTCCGGAAGTTGCACATGCCGCGGTTGTTCAAATCCATTTGGACAACATCAATTCGAAGGTGCAAATATTGAGTGCGGTGCACCACCCAAACGGCGAAAGTATGATTTTCAAAACTGGAAAAAGCATACCTCGCAAGCCTACCTCCACATGAAAGGAGAACCGCCACGAGAGGGAGCACCGACGAGGGAAGAGTTCTTTGTCGTGGAAGAACTTATACAACTGTCCCTTGCAAGCGGGAAGGAACTGAATACTTCCTCTCTGCTGACCCACTACAATCGTGTTCAATCTATCAGTTGAACTCTAGAGCCTAAGCCGTTACTGCTCAGAAAAAAAATCAAATGAACAAATCAAGCGAGCCATTGCAGCTCACAGTCACGACGCAGCCATTATGGCGGCGTTTAACTTAGAAGACAAAGTGAACTATGTTCCTCAAAGAAGTGAATACCATCAAAGGTGCCGAGGAATGCGGTAAATGTTTGTATGATTTCTTGAATTTTTGTTACTGTTGCGCATATGACAAACGGTCATTTTGAAAATGAATAGATCTTGTTGCTATATTAAGCTATAATGTATCACAAGTTCTGAATAATTTTTTCATGAAACTTGAGAAGAAGTTTTTAAAGTAGTTATGTTAGCTGCAATTCTTTAATTAAATTTTTATATGGGACTATAATGTACTCAAACATGAATGGATAAAAATTCACTAAAATTAATTTAACCTGAGAATAGCTTTTGCAATTTACTGTGCTCACAAAATAAAGGTTAAACCACAACATGGCAAATAACTAAATCTATCAACCTTCGCAACTTAATAATCGGGGCTTCTATTTTTTCCATGTTCCCCACTGTTCTCCCATTCCTTTGCACCCAAACTTCCTCTGGTCCTCTGTACCCACTTTTCCTCTGGTCTTCTGTACCCACTGTTCCTCTGGTCCTCTGTACTCACTTTTCCCCTGGTCTTCTGTACCCACTGTTCCTCTGGTCCTCTGTACTCACTTTTCCTCTGGTCTTCTGTACCCACTGTTCCTCTGGTCCTCTGTACCCACTAGTCCTCTGTTCCTCTGTTCCCAGTGTTCCTCTGTTCCTCTGTTCTTCTGTTCCCACTGTTCCTCTGTTCCAGTGTTGCTCTGTTCCACTGTTCCTCTTTCCACTGTTCCTCTGTTCTACTGTTCCTCTGTTCTACTGTTCCTCTCTTCCACTGCTCCTCTATTTCTCTGTTCCTCTGTTCCCCTGTTTCTCTGTTTCTCTGTTTCTCTGTTCCTCTGTTCCTCTGTTCCCCTGTTCCCTCTGTACCTCTGGTCCTCTGTGCCCACTGTTCCTCTGTTCCCACTCTTTCTCTGGTCCTCTATACCCATTGGTCCTTGCTACCCACTGTTCCTCTGGTCCTCTGTGCCCACTGGTCTTCTGTACCCACTGTTCCTCTCGTCCTCTGTGCCCACTGTTCCTCTGTTCCCACTGTTCCTCCGGTCCTTTGTATCCTCTGGTCCTCTGTGCTCACTTTACCTCTGGTCTCATTGTTCCTCTGGTCCTCTGTTCCCTCTGGTCCTCTGTTCCCACTGGTCCTCTGTACCCACTGGTCCCCTGGTCCTCTGTACCCACTGTTCCACTGGTCCTCAGAGCCCACTGAGCCAGGACCCATTACTCAATTAATGGGCTCCTGACTGTACCCACTGTTATAATAATAATAATAATAATAATAATAATAATGAAGGTCTTTATTAAGAATTATTGTGCAAACAGACGTGCTACAATTAACATGAATAACATGAGTAAAATGAATGAGGAAAAAGAAAAGGTATTAATTACCATTGAAAAGACATCTATTAATAAAAACTGATTTAAAACGGCTTGTCTGGACCTTAGGCAAAATATAATTATGCGACCTAGTTCTCAACTGCCGTGTTCTCTGGGGAGGTAAGAGATCGCTCAACGCAGTGTTGGTGGAAGAGATCCTTTGCCATAATTTCTTATCTCTATTACAACGGATATCCAAGATACTGTGTTGCTTTAAGCAGTAACCCAGCTTATAACACCTGGCAAAGAGCTTATCAATTCTACTTAAATATTTACTATAAAAAGCACACCCCCAGACCTCAATAGCATATGTAAAAACTGAAAGAATCAAACTTTGAAAAAGTAAGTCCAAATTCTCAATAGGGTAGCCATAATATTTACATATTCTCAAAATATACAACCTACTGCTAGCCTTACTAAGTAG